ATGAGCCCTGCGGCTTCTTGGGCTAGTAACGTTGGGTGAGTGCAGCTAATCAACTTAGGCACACAGGGCTGCCCACCTTACAGATCAATGATTAAACCACAGTTCCAGACTGCACGGGACTAAGGGAACGACTATTGGTGCTGGGGTCCCCAGAGGGACCCTGCAATGTGGTGTCCCTTTTTTATGGCTGAGGAAATTAGGTCTATAAGAGAGGGTGTCCTGACAGTGTGTTCGGGTGGGGCAGAGAGGCGGTTGTGGGGGGATTTGTGGGAGACACATTATGGGGGCTCTTAAGTAGCAGGCGTGGAGCAAGTCCCGGCCCCATCTTGATTTCAGATTTGGGATCAGAACAGTGCAGTGAACCGTTGGGCAGGAGGCACCTGCCAGTTGAATGTACAAATTTGTGATTGGGTCACCTGGAGCTGAAGTTCAGGGTCAGAGGAAGGAGGATCGTTTTCCAAGAGAGGCCTCTAAATGGATCCCTGGCTGAAAATGAGGCAGGGAGAGAGAACCTGGGCCTTCATTATCCTCTTGCTCCTTCCATTCTTCTTGTAGTGGTACGTTTAATAGGGACCAGACCTCCAAGTGATTCTTTGTAAGTTATTGTTGAATAAACATACATGGGCAGTGGTGTGGAAATGGGGACATTGAGTTGTCCAGTGGACAAAGGACACATTTTTCCCCCTGGGACAGGTTGCTGTGTTTCTGATGATTTTGAAAGGCTCTGAGTGGTACATTAGTTGCACATCATTCTTGCCTGATCAGAGTTTTCTAAGAGCTTCTGCCAAACATTTTATTAACCTAGTTTGGTTTATCATGTGTACTTGAAAGCTGTGAGGTTAGATCTCTTTAAGCACCTGAATCTACTTTCAAATGTTCTGATTTATAGGCATTTTTGACATCACCATCTTGTGTTCCTGAGTTTAGGTATGCTCTGAGCCCAAGCTCATTTTCACTCCTGTGTAGAGCGGGTCTAATGGTATTCAAGGAGTTGTATTGCCCTCCCCCTTTCTGCCCCTGGGTAATTGGGGTATGGGTCTTTTTTTTTTCCTACAGTGGGGTAGAGGGGGTGGTCACTACTCACACGTAATGGGTATGAGATTGCCAAAGCCCTGTGAGGGACAAGACAGTCCTTTGCAACATAGTATCAGCCCCCATTGAGGAACTATGACACATGGAGTTGATTTTGTTTGGTCATGTTCCATGCTCTTAGACAAGCATAAAGGCTGAAATTGGATAATAATTAAAAGCATTTTTCTGGAGCATGGTGTGGGTTTACCTGTGGCTATAGGTAGTAAGGAGTTTGGACTTCTTTCAGACCTTCTGTTTTTTTGTTGATCATTTTCTGTAACCTTTTGGTGACTTGAGTATAATTAGTTTGGAGGTAGTGGAAATCTCTCTTTGTTTTTTTGTATCTAGTGGCTTAGATCCATGGCTCCTCTACCAAGGCTGCACATTGGAGTTTCCCAGGGAGCTTTAAAAAGTACTGATGCCTGGGTCCTACCTCCAGATGTTCATTTAATTGGTCTAGGGTGTAGCATCAGAGTTTTTAACACTCCTCAGCTGATTATAATGCACAGCTAGGATTGAAAATCACTGGTTTAGATGTTCTAGGAATAAATTTTTGTTTACCCACAAAACATTTATGGAGCACCTGAGATCAAAATGAGCAAGCACACCACCTCATCAAGCCTAGTGGAGCTTATGTGTTTGGCTTTCAGGTTTCATTTTTAAAACGTTGATTCTGTAAAGGAGATGCTGGGCTGTTCTTTTCAGCTCCAGTTTCCCTTTCTGGAGTCTTTCCAGGGGCTGGAAGCAGAGCGGATAAGGGGAGCCCTTAGGCCAGGAGGAAGGTGAATATAAAGTGAGGTAGATGGTGGGCAAAAGGACATGGTCACTGTATTCCCTGCAGGGCTGGCATACTCAGTGCCCCTGGGGACCAGGGTGGTGACAGCTGGCAATAACATTAAGACCTGGCATATTTCTTCTGAATTTGGGGTAGGGGTGGATTAACCCACAGTATGAAATAAGTAACATTCTAAACTGGCTTTCTTTTGTAGTGTGTTTTTCTTCAGTTTGAAACCTGGCCAAAGGGCTTCCATCAGCTAACTGCCTGTCTGCCAGTTGTGCCATTTGTGAAAAGGTGACAGTCTCCATGCTGGGCTTGGCCAGCAGTCAGGCCTTTGCCTGTATTAGACAAAGAACACCCCCTTTCCCTGGTCCAAGGGACAAGAGTTTGCCCCATCTCAGCCCCAGGGCCCTCATTCACTGTACTGCCAAGCCAGTGACATGCAGGGTCACCCTGTCTGGATCATCCCTAAATCAGAATTGGGGATTTGTGTTCTGTTTTGTAATGTGCCCACTCTTGAGGCCATTTCCCAGGAGTGATGACTTCCAAAACAGAAAAACATCTGTTCTAGCCAAGTAGGTATTAAATAGTTATATAGAGGCTTTCCCACTCAGGGTAAGTACTTCAGGGGTATGTGGAACCTCAGGGCATGGTGGACACACTTGTCTTTACTGCCCTGCAGCTCAGTCACTTCCACGGGTGGCCTGACCCCACAGGCTCCACTGACAAGCAGACTGAACAAGGTCAGTTCTGTTTTTCAAGTTTTGGAATCGGAATTTTTCTAGGGAGTAGAATGTAATCTTAAAGCCACAGTTCTGGGGATAAAATTCAGGCCTCCCCTTTAAATTTCCTGCAGTCAATTTTGGAGTAGTGAAACCAGCTAGATTACTTTCTGCCAAATGAGTTTCCCAGAGGCATAATTTAGCTGGGAGGGAGGGAGACGTTAATGAGACATGACACCCGTGCTCATGGTGGCGGTGCTTGTGTTCCTTCCCACGGGCGTGTGATGTGGACCTTGCTCTGGTGGTCTCCCTGGTGGGGGGCTTTTTCCTCCAAGTGGCTTCAGTTCATTTAAGCAGAGCATAGGGCCCAGCGCCCCCCAACATCCTCTGGCCCTCCCCAGGTTCCCTGCTCTCCCTCACTTGGGGCCTTCTGGGTGCTGCCCTCTCACAGGGGGACCCGTTCCTTACGGGTGAGCCCCTGTTGGTCCTCTGTGGGGCTCTGAAGTCCCTTTGCTTTCTCACTTCCTCGTTCCTCTCCGGCCTGTGGCCCACTTGTCTCCACCGACTCCTGTTGGGGACTTGGTGGTATATGCTCATCGGGTGGGGCTCTAAGTGACCTCATGGCTCTGCCTGCATTTGGGGATTCACAGGATTGAAAAACAATGCCTTCACTGCCGTTTTTGCTACTCTAGTTGCTTTTGTTTGTTAAGGGAAGTTGAAAATAGGAATTTTGGTGGGTGTCTCAGTCAGCCAGGGCTATTATAATTAAGTAGTACAAACTGTGTGGCTTAAAACAACAGGAACTCTGTCCCAGTTCTGGAGGCCAGAAGTCTGAGAACAAGTGTCAGCAGGGTTCACCCCCTCTGCCGGCCCCAGGGGAGAATCCTTGCTTCCTCTTCCAGCTCTGGCAGCTTCGGCAGTGTGGCTGCATCACTCCAGTCTCTGCCTGTGTCCTCACCTCATCTGCTCTTTCTCACTGGGTCACCTCCTCTGTCTCTTATGAGGGCGCTTGTCATTGGATTTAGGGCCTCCTACTTTGGTAGTCCAGGATGAATTCATCTCTAGATCTTTAAATCATATCTTCAAAAACCCCTTCCCAAATAAGGTCACACCGCCAGGTTCCAGGGGTTAGGATGTGGAATGGATCTTTTGGGGGCCACCATTCCACATACTACAGCAGGGGCTGATGAAATCTTCTGGCTTTTAAATGGCCACTAACTTACATTTTTTAAGAGTCTGTGCAGGCCAGAGTAAGACATATCTGTCTAGTTGGGCCTGTGAACCCAGTCTGTGGCCTTCATGTTTACTGTGCACTGGAAGGTCTTGGGAACATAGTTCCAAATATCTGGACATAGATTCTATGGAGAGTGAAAATCCTTAACTTCTAATCCAAGTTTTGGCACTACTTAGTTTATGAAAGGAATTCTGGTGTAATTTATTCTTGTGAAACCACATGTGGTCAGCTGTGAGTCTTCCTGTGTTTTTCTTTGGTCTGGGTTCAGGGCCTAGGGATGCTTCATTTTGGTGTTTGTGTTGCCTGCACTGTCTTTTCCTTTACGGGGAGAAAGCAGCAGCCTGCGGAGGGGGTGGGACAGCACAGTTATCCTCTGGTCTCATCTGGGATCTTTATCTTACCCTCCTCAGGGGATGACTACTTTGCAGGTACAGTGAGCAGAGTAAGTTGCATTTTGCCTTTGCTCTAAGTATCATAAGGTTGGACATTGTTTAAGGTTCTGGCCTCACGTGAACCTGTGAGGTTAATGCAGTTTCTTTAACCTTGACTTTAGTCCTACCTGGGGGTGCTGAGCTCCACATTGGAGGGATTGGGGTGGGAGAGGGTAAGAGTGGCCTCTGGGCCTGGCGGGCACTGATCTCAATGCCTCAGCAGGTGTCCGGTATAGAAGAATTGCTTTTCAGTTTCTACCATTTAGAAATATGTTGCTGAGCAAGCACCATTTAGTTTCTTTTCTAATTATAGAAGCAACCCTTTCTTAATGCAAAACACCTAGAACATAAAACCAAAAGTTTGGGTGTCGTTTATAATGCTTGTGGATGGACATCAACAGTAGTTGGACGTTACCTTCTAGTATACTGCATATCTTCATTAATTTATTTACCCTAAAGTGGAATCTCATTTATTGTATTGGCATTTCTTTGATTTCTAGTTAGGCTGAATATTTTCTTAATGCCGTCTTTAGTTGGCCAAATATCTGTCTGCATCCTTGGCACAGCTATTTTGTGGTGGTTTTTTGTGTTCTGCTGTGTTTCCTGATAATGTGTGTGGCCTCTCCTTGCAGAGTGACAGTGTGTATAAAAGCTCATGACAAACGGGTAAGTGACTCTCGGTTCCGTCGTGAAACTGCCTCACTGGCTTTCCTTTCAGGTGTCTCATCTTGACCATCTTGCCTTCTTTTTTCCCTGTCCTCCAGTTGACGGTGAGAACATTCTAAAAGGCCTCCAGTCCATTTTCCAGGAGCAGGGGATGATGGAGTCGGTACATACCTGGCAGGACCACGGCTATTTAGCAACCTACATAAATAAAAATGGCAGGTGAGGTGACCTTGAGTGCTTGTGTTCCTTCAGATCAGAGCACTTGAGGGGTGGGGGGCAAAGGGCTGTAGTGCAGTGGTGTCCAGGTATTTTTACTTCCTCCTGTGATGTCTTTTAAGAACGGCCTAGAATTCACTGCTTCTCAGCCCTGGGGCACCACAGTTCTCCAAAGCCCCCAGGTAGTTCTGCTGTGTGGCTGGGGCCCAGAACTCTGGGGCACCATAAGCAGCTTGCTTGAACCTGCAGGCTCTGATCTTGAGTTGGTTAAAATCCAGATTCCTGGGCTCCACTCCCAAGAGTTTCGGATGCAGTAGGTCAAGGGCCATGCCCCAAACTGCATTTCCAGCCAGCTTCGAAGGATTGCTGGTGCTGCTGGGTGGCTGCCCCCATTGTGAGTAGCACTGTTAAAAATGATCGTCACTGAATGCAGACAACACCAAACAGAGAAAGTGTAGTAGAAGCTTGACAGGTATCTGAAGGGATCCAAGAGTTAATAGGCTATGTAGACTTTACACAATCACTATGTAGCTGAAAGTCACTGTGTTCTGAGAATGGAAAGGCAACCTAAATTAAGAAAAGACTGATAACAGAAGACACCAGTGCACTGAGCTTTCTGTGTTTTCTAACTTTAGGTGTGTAGCATATCTAGACTGGTTTACTATGCAAAACTATTAAGACTCTTAGTGATTTGCATTGTTAATTTGAAATGTGAACTCCTGGGTATTGTCAGTGGTTTTCATTCCATTCCCTCTGTGGGTACAAAGTATTAGAATTCCACATCGCTTTAATGTCCCACATTTCCTCCCTTGTTTTCTATTAAAAGAAAAAATAACTACCCCCACAATCTTACAGAGGCCAGAAGACAATGCTGGGAGATGAGGAAACTTTGACTTTGACTTTGGAACCTGCCCCTTTCCTTATTCTCTATGTCTACATAGTCTTCACCTGTGGCACTAATTGGTGTTCCCTCTCCTGATGTCTCTCAAACATCCCAACCCCTCTATCCCCAAGCCGATTAGTATTTCTAACTCTGTAGCAAACCTTCGTATGTGTGTTTAGTAGATGGTGCAAATACATGTATCTAAAATTAGTTCAGCCTCAAGGGTGACCCAAAATGAGCTCCACTACCAGCCCTCCTTTGCCCTCCATCCTCCTCTGCGCTCGCCAGTTCATGGCAAGTCCCCAGGAAGTAGAGTGCTGCAGCTGGCTTGATGCCCACAGCTCCTGCACGCTCGAACTGGCCCCTCTCTGTCCCGGCCCTCTGCTCCACCCTCCTGCCATGGTTTCTCTCAGTCCTTGCTGCAGACCCCAACCTTTGGGGACCACACTCTCCCACCTTCGTAGGCTCCTCTTCCATTCCAGGTGAAGCCTTGAATCTCTTGCCATCTTCTAGGAGCCTTTGCAGCCAGGTCCCTCCTACCTCTCTACTGTAGTTCTTGAATCTTCTCAGACACCAATTTCAGTTGTTCAGAGGCTTAAAATTCTTCCTGGAAGGGACTTTTTGAGTGACAAAAGCTGTCTGGAAATTGCTTCTGAAAGCAGAAAAAATTAAAACATGCTTAGTTTAAAACTTACTTTTCCTCATTGGTCTCCCTCTTCTCTCACTTCCTCAGCTCAGGCCTGTCCCTGTGCTGCCTGTCCTGAAACCTCACCCTTCCTGCCCAAGTCCCCTCCTGATGCGTGCCTCTGGGAAGGATTGCAGCTCCACACCCCACTTCTGGTTAATTGCCCCTTTGTGATGCCGAAGTCCTGCTTCTCAGCCACCATTTTTCATGTTGCCCCCCACCCCGCCCCTGCTCCCGCCGCTTTCCTTTTTCTCTTTATTCTTGGTTTTAATCCCTTGAGGTTGGCCCTTGCTTGACCTTCCCTTCCAGCACTCTGTATTCCTGGTCTCTGGCAGAGGACTCTGCTAGAACCACCCAGGCAGTTAAGGGTGACATTTTCCTTCCCGCCAGCACCTCTGCTGATTGGTCCTGGGCCTGAACTTGATTTGGGGGCCATTTAAGGGCTGAAGGTGAAATTAAGTAGTGTTTAATTTTTAATCCAAGCATGCTACCTGTATTCTCTAAACAGAGTTCATCTTCTAATCTAGTAATTTTCAAATATTTCTCTAAGCATGACTTAAAGTAAGAAGTTATTTTATAACCCTCTCCATATACCTCTGTGTCTACAATACAGTACACACATATAATGGAAATAAAAGTTTCTCTAAATAACTTAAAATGCATGTGATACAGTCATATATATTTTGTTAAAAAGACAAAGGTCAGATCCACTAAATTGAGAGTCAGAAAGCTTTTTCTGTAAGGAGCCATATAAGGTCTCTGTCAAATATTCTCTCTCTTTTTTGGAACAATGCTTGAAAATATAAAAGCCATTCTTAGCCTGCAGGCTTCACAAAACATGCTGCCGGCTGAATCTGGCTTGCAGGTTATAGGGCTGGAGTTTGCCAACCCACGAACTAAATAAATTTTACCACCAGCTGCTTGCAGTCAGGAAAACACCATGGATGGCTGTTTTGAACTCTGAAGGTTAACTGGGAGAACCCAGTTTGCCCTCTCCTGCCCTCCTTCTTTTTAAGGCTGTGGTCACTAAACCTGGCTGAATCACCTGCTGGAGCATCTTCTTAAAAATCAGTTTCACGCAACTTCTACTGAATCGCTTTCTGGGCCCAGGAACCCAGTTTGCAAACCGTAGCACGTGATGTCTCTCTGTCTTCCTTCAATGATCGGTGGTTCCCCCCCCCCCCCAAGAAGAGTTAAAAGAGTTAACTATATTACTTAGGGGAAGAAAGAGCAGTGGTCTTTCCTTTTAGTCGGGTTGGTGGGTTGTTTTGAATGCCATGATACCATTCCTAACCTTAAAATCATACTTTCCTTTGTAGCTTTGTCAACTTGAGAATTTACCCACATGGATTGGTGTTGCTGGACCTGCAGAGTTACGATGGTGATTCGCAAGGCAAAGAAGTTGATAGTGTCGGTTTTTCATTTTCATTTGACTCAAGTACTGAAGGATCATAAAAATCCACTCACTTTAATGATGTTAAAATCATTTCACTTAATTGCTGACTTCTCAGTTAACTTTAAACTTCCCTCCAGATCAGTGATTTTAGAGGAAAAATAGTTGTTGCTCAGTTGTTACAAACCTGGCTGTCATTGCCATGACTGCTTGTGTCCTGGGTCATTTCACTTTCCACTGGACGGAGTGTGAACCTTTAACCAGGATCTTTTATCTGCATTACCCTTGAGCCTCCCCCCCGTCCCACTGCCTGATGGGAACTTAGGCCGAGGTTAGGTAGCACCATGAGGCCTGGTTGGTGGCTGGAGGGATGCGGGAGGGCAGGTATACCATGCAGCTCCTCCAACACAGCCTCAGCCTCTTGTTCTGTAATTCAGCTGTTCCCCTCAGCTCATTGTATCTGCCCATTGATGGCTTTCTTTTAATTACAGCTTTTGAACAAAGTAGAAGAAAGAATGAAAGAATTGAGTCAGGACAGTACTGGGCGGGTGAAGCGGTAAGTCAACTCCTCTAAGATATCCTTTATATTTGTTTAATTGGAATGGTGGTGGTGTCCATGAGTAGCGTCTGCTTAAGATGTGGAAAAGATCAAAGTCAGCTTCTGCATCTGGCAGCATAGCAGACTGAGCTGGTGGGTCCTTCAGGCCAAAATAGGGCAGCATGTATGAAAATGGGGAGAGAGAGAGAGATGCTGGATAAAAAAAAGTCAGAAGGGAGATGTGGAGTGACTCCCAAGAGCTAGAACTCTGTAAAGTGGAAACCCAGGTGCGGCACCACCTCAATCAAAGGGGAGCTAGAATACTCCTCCCCGATCTGGTCCAGTAAAGACAGAAGGTCGCTTATCTCTGCTTGTGCTCAGGGTTCTGGGCCCCTGAGTGGAATTAACAGTTCTGAGGGATTTATGACAAAATGGGGTGATGGAAAATTTGCCTAAAGCTTTTCAAATAAGGACTTTGCAAGTTACTAAAAACCCAGAAACCACCCACCTTAACTGGCCCTGGGTAAATTATTTTCAGATGATGAAGACAGTAAGTTTTCCCTGGCCAGGAGTGTAGCCACGTTGGTTACTGAAGTTGATAAAAAACAGTTCCGTTTCTCAGTCTCATTAGCTGGATATCAATAGCTAATGGCTAGTGTACTGTCATGTTGGATGGCACAGATGTAGAACATTTCTGCCACGATAGAAAGTTCTGTTGGACAGCGCAGAGGTATTTGTCAGTGGTGTCAGGTTGAAAAGGCTTTGATAGAAGAAACACTTTTGTCTTTTGTTGGAAAAGGCAGAGTCCAGTAGGTAAGTCCTGGGAATTAAGAATGGAAGTTATTCATGGATGCCCAGCAAGTAATTTTCAGCAGTTGCTCTTGCCCTGCCTGAGTAGCTGCTTATCAAGCCCTGAAAAGTAGGAGGCCTGTCCCTTGCTCACAAAGGCAAACAACACACAGATGCACAGAGACACAGTGGGACTTTATGAAGGTCACGTCATTGTTGATGGAAGAATACAGATTTCTCTAGTTCATCACACTTTCCAGAAGAGGGAAGCATTTTCAGTAGGAGCTAGGATGTTTAAGGACTTAATGGCTCAGCGTGCTAAACTTAAATTTGATCAGCCCTTAAGAAGGCTCCAAGGCAGATGTAACATGATTAAAAAGTTGCTTGATCTCTAGTAGGGTAGAAAGCAGGAAGCTGCAAATGAACATGACGCAGTGAGAACTTGCCCACTTTGTTGAAATCTGTCAGAGCCCCGGATTTATTTACCCCACCCAAGTTCAGTATACCTGTCCTCAGCTGTGCCTTCCTCTCCCTATCCCTTAAAACAAGACCACACCCACACACCTTCCTGGACATTCATCTTTTCCTGCTTGCAGGATTTTCTTTATCTGCACCCACTTGAATCCAATGTTTGTTGAATGTAAAATGCCTTACCTCATAACCTGCCAACATCAAAATGGCTCTGATTTTTATTGGTCTATTATTGGGGTTACTTCTGGGAGTGAGTAAATAGATGGAATGCATTCATGAGAAGGTTGTTGATTTGTTTTTCTGGTATAGGGGTTATCTCTGAGTGGAGTTAAACTTTAAATTGTTAGCTCAAAATACAGACTTTGTTTTTGCTTGTTGCTGCTTTTACATCTTCCATAAAGTCAGGGCTGGGTTGGGGCAAAATGTTGTTTGGGATACTTTGATGTAGGCCTCGAAAGGACAAGGATGGTGCCACTTTTCTGTCTGTAGAATGACATTGTTACAGGTTTAATGAACAAATAACCCAATAACATTGGCAATTATTATTCCCCTGTGGCTGATGAATTAAGTCTGAATTTTCAACTAAGAAGCCATGGGACTTATTAGAAAATTTATTTTTGTGTTCTACTTTTCAAAAGAAAATGAACATTTAAAAAAAAAATGAAACAAGCTCATATTAAGTTTCATTGGGAAAAAAAATGCTCGCTGTTCACACAGCTGTACCTGAGGTCCAGGACCATAATCTATAATCTGCCCAACTTTCTCCCCAGAATCCACATTTGATTTTTTCAGTGAAGGTTGAAATAAGAGTTGTGTAGGGCTCCAGAATATCTCCTGTAGCCCATTTCATGGAGATGGAGATCATGTTAGGATGAGTGCCTCATCAAGCAAATGGCTTCCCCATCCTGTTAGAGATCCTTATTGTTCCTTTGCCAGGTTTTCATGTTGCAATTGAGGAAAAAGCTCTTTACTTTAGCCAAGGCACTATTGACACAATTGAGAATGAACAGTGTTTATTTCAAGTGCAGTAATATGTAATACAGCTGGCCGGCTGTCAACCAGGGAGTGGGTGGTTTGTAGTTCCCTCCCCTGCTGGTAGTTTGTAGTTCCCTCCCCTGACAGCCTGTGACTTGATATTTGTCGCCTTCATCCAGTGTCACAAGTGGTTCAGTTTCCCCGCTTCACTCTTCCCACCGTCCCTCAGCCAGTGGTGGAAGAGGCTTTCCTCAAAGTCGTTTTGCCTGCTCTCTGTGTGTGTGTTTGGGGCTGGGGTGAGCGGGTAGGGGTTGTCCTGACTGGGGTTCCACATTTTATAAGAAAAACCTCTGGTCTGCCTATCATTCCAGTAGCTGAATTTGTCTCCATGAAAGATGAAGAAGTGGTTAAATCAGGAGTTAGGATTAAATGAGAGTTTATGGGAATTTGCTTTGTACGTCTCAGTGTTCTTTATAGATGTTAGTAGTTCAGCTTGTAACAGGTTCAGACTGTATACTTGGAAACAGGTGAGTGGGGTGGAGAAAAAGACTCATCACAGCAAGCCAGAGGTATGGATCCAGGCGTACATCTGTTTCGCAGCGCCACTGTGTATGAGAGCACATGATTTGCACACAGTTGTTAATGTATGCAGTTAGCTCATTTTCATGTTTGTTAGATTTGCCCAGCCCCTTTTCCAGCTCTGATTTTCATTGTCGTTTAGTGTCCTCTGCTGGTAGTTTGTAGTACATTCACCATATCTAAAATACTGAATATTTACAAAAGAATGAAATGAGAAAATCACCAGTTTGCAGCTGTTCTAGTAATAGTTGATTCAGGCAAGAATATTCTAGATGCCAAAGCCACTAGTAAAGGTTTGTTGGGAGAGCAGGACCTTCACTCAGTTTCAGAGGATGACCCCACAGTCTGCTTAGTAATTTTAAAAAGGTACCTTTGCAAATGGAAGCATTCACTATAATCAAGCGGTCACGTTTAGTATAACCCATAATAGAACAGGCACACATCTCATGCCCCTGATGTGATGACAGTGTGAGGGGAAAAAACTATGCTAGGTGGAATGGTGCAGAAAAGGGAAAAAACAAAAATACAGTGTATGCCTTAATTCAGAGCAGACCAGCTATAAAGTGTATATTTGGGACAATTGTGGGGGTATCTGAATATGGATTCTGTACTGGATGATGGTATTCTTTATGTGCACTTGCACAAATGTGCTAATGGCAGTGTGATTACGTAGGAGTAGTCCTGCTGAAGTATTTGGGGATGAAGTAACATGTCTGCAGTGGCTATTTTCTCCAGCTTCTTGGTAGGGAAAATTTAAACCGTGCCAGAAATGATTTTTTAAAAAGTAAATTCTTTGTGTACAGCAGTTGTTGGAATTTGGTAGTGGCCATGTCTGTAAAAAGCTGAAAGCCCAAGCTTTAATTTAGATTTGTGTGTTAAAATTTAAGAGTTGGCCTCCTGATCCCAGGTTCACTTCTAAGGGAGCCTCACTATAAGCAGGGTTCTTGTTAAGGGTTCTTGTAAGGCTCATTCCTGTTTCCCTCTTCCCCTCACCCTCCCCCAGATTACCACCCATAGTTCGAGGAGGGGCCATTGACAGATACTGGCCCACTGCTGATGGCCGCCTGGTTGAATACGACATAGATGAAGTGGTGTATGATGAAGATTCACCTTATCAGAACATTAAAATTCTACACTCGAAGCAATTTGGGAATATTCTCATCCTTAGTGGGGATGTTAGTAAGTATTCCATCCCTATACCAGTCACATGACCAGTGATGACGCATGTCAGATTCTGGTGTTTCTCTGACAAATACCACCATTGTGGATTTGTCCATGTCCATGGCACTGCTGTTTATTTTTTTAATGAACATTTATGTATTAACCTGTGGGCTGTCACAGCTTTCATGTTTTATAGCAGAGCCATGAAAACCTGGACTCAATCCTCAGAAATGAGTGTTTGGATTATATATTAAAAGAAAATGTAATTGCCTGTTTTTAAAGAAATCTTTACATTATGGAAAATTTCAAAACCTAAGTGGACAAAATAGTGTGATGAACCCACATATACTCACCAGTGCAAGTCAGCAACTGTCAGCTCCTGGTTAATCTTGTTTTCCCTAAACCCCTGTCCATTTTTCTCCCTCTCGTATGATTTTTGAAGCGATTTTCAGATGTCATATTATTTCAACTATTACACTATCTCAATAATGATAAAATCAAATCAATATAAAATTAAAACTTCATCCATGATTATAAAATTATTTTAATGATTAAAATATGTAATTGTTTTCAATTATTCAGCGTATCAGAGCATTCTTAATTTTCCTCCCACCGACTAATGGATATGTGTATATAATCTCTATATGTGATAAATTATATTAGGTGTCAGATGGGTCAGGTTGCTGAAAAGCCAACAGTTAAAAAAAAACCCTCTGTACATCGTTGACAGTTTTTAAAGATTTAAAGTGAAGAAGTATGAATTTCAGGCTAGGCACCAGCACTTTCTGGCATGAGTCATATGGTGGTGTGGGTTTGGGTAGAGTCACCCTTCATCTCTGTTTCTCCTCTCTAGATCTGGCGGAGAGTGACGTGGCGTACACCCGGGCCATCATGGGCAGTGGCAGAGAAGATTACACTGGCAAAGATGTGCTGATTCTGGGAGGTGGAGATGGGGGCATATTATGTGAAATAGTCAAACTGAAACCAAAGATGGTCACTATGGTAGAGATATCCGTTGTTGTCTAAAAGATCGAGTTCAGTAGACTTCCTTTGTTTTCTGCCTCTTTTGCCTTAAGACTCCAGGTGATGTTATGAGGCAAATGTGTTATAAACACTGCTTTGAACAACCATTTTGATTTAGTACCAGGAGCCTATTTATGTGGCCACCCATAAAGAAACAGACAATCTAGCTGAGAGGTAAAGAGCAAGCAGCCTTGGTACTGTGTCTGCTGCTCTGCCATTGCCGAAATGGCTTCTTGATGAGAAGAAAAAAATTCAGTTCCTTGGTACAAAAATGAAGCCATTCTCTCTTTTTTTTAAAACTGGATACCTGAACTAGTGTTAGAAACTTGTGTTTGTCTTAACCTTCTCTTTAAAATACATTATTTTCAGACTTCTTTGATACATGCAAATACAGGGTAAATTTCTCCTTAACCCATTTCAAACATTGACCAAATGGTGATTGATGGATGTAAGAAATACATGCGAAAAACATGTGGTGATGTCTTAGACAATCTTAAAGGAGACTGCTATCAGGTAATAATGTTTCCAGGTAACATTTTAAAGTTGACTGATAGTATGTTATTGACCTGAACTGTGCCTTCCTAAAATAAAACAGCTCTAAGAATATTTGGTTAAGGTAAATAGATCATCTTGTAGGAGAGGAAACATTTGTTTGTCCACCCTTCTAATTCTTGGCTGAGACTCCTATAATGAAAGACTAGCAAGAGAAAAACAGAAACACATGTATATCTCACATATACATGGGAGAGAAAAATGAGTAACTCAGAGGTGGCTTTAAGATTTAGGCTTCCATATCATCTTAATAGGGAAAGGGCATATAGGTGTCTTAAGGGAGAGAGTGACTTTTAGTAAAGACAAAGGGGCCCTTAGAATACATAGGAGGCATGATAATCTCTGACAAAGTGTGTCTGGGTATGGTGTCAAGTCTCCTCTCCTGGGTTGAGTTTTCCCTGGTCGAATTCCCCAGGGAGGGGATCTGTGACAGCTGAGTTCATTTCAGAGGGTCTGTCTGTAGGCAGATGAAGGGAAGTTCAGAGAAGGCATCTCCCTGCATTTGCCATTTTTTCAGGTGTTTATAGCTCAAAATAATCACTATGCCAAAGTGGCATATATCTTGAGGTGGCATGTTCTGCTACCCTTTGACTCTTTATGTGAGTTATATGTATATTTGAATAGCTGCTTCTTGCTAAGCAAACTAGTTTCTGTCCCAGTTTGTTCTGTGCTTGCAAGTTGACCAATCATGCCAGTTTATGGGAGACATTTTGTTGTGTTTGGAGGACACACATGTTTGGTGCCCATACTTACAGTACTTGTTACGGCAAGGTAACCAAGCAAATAATGTATTTTATTTGAACAGAATCTTAAATATCTGTCTCCAGATTTACAAACAATTGAGATGAGTCCTTTCCTTTGTTGATACATAAATTACTTAGTAGTACCCCATCTTTCCTCATGTGTGCACACCCAAATTTGATTTAATGGTACATGCATGCATGGTAATTTTTTAAGCCAGGGGAGGAATTACATTAAAATGCATTTGTGTGAAAAGGGAAAGAAAGGAACATGTTTCACTTAAATTATTTGTAAGTTTTAAAAGGGAGAGGGGTTCTTCAGAACATGACACATTTGTTTCATGAGCTAAATGTTACCATTGTTTGCAAATAATGTTTACATTGTTAGCCAGACCCATTGTTATAATGTTTAATCCTCACACCAGTAACAGGTAGGTGCAAGTGGGTATTATTTCCATTTTATGGTTTAAGAAGATTAAGGTTAGAGAGTTGAAAGGCATTTTTTTCAGGGTTATAGGTTAACTTCAGAGGAATGGTTCAGATTCCTCGTTCTTTATATGGTTTCCTTGTATGGATTAACAAAGAAAATATAAACAGAACTGCAAACACAAACCTGCAGTAATGTGGAGTTGTAGACTTGTAATTAGAGGTCAGGTAGAAGCCTCAGAAAACAACCTCTCGACTTGTGTACGAATTCATCTGAAGACAGCACCAAAGGGATGTGATAACAGGCAGTCGGACATTTTAGGAAACTGATAAGTAGTTGTTTATTTGAAATGGCCTGGCTCTTGAGGAAGTTGGGCGCCCAAATACATCCTTTCTCCCTGCTGTCTTTTTGGATCAGAACAGCCACCAGGGGGCGCCTGGAAAATTATTGTGAGGTTGAGTTTTCCCAGAGCCCTCAAGGGTTGAAGGATCCTCGTCTGGGACAGTGGCAGGTAAGCCCCTTAGCTGTTAAAATGGTAACATTAAAAAAAAAAAACCACCAGGTCTTTGTAGCTATTTATCATTTGAAAAACAGATACTCTGTTAACCGTTTTTAGAAAATAGAAAATGCTTCAAAGCACTCCCATTTCTTTCATAATGATAGATTAACCTTAATACTAAAGTTAAAGTCATTAAGGTAGTACAAAAAGAAAACTACAGGTAAATTTTATATATGTATGAGCTTCCCCCAAAAATAGTAAATTAAATGCAGCAACTTCAGAACTATGTGTTAGGCCCAAGACAGATTTAGTTCAGATATGTTAAAGAAGATGTGAATCTTAAGAAATCTGTCTGCATATTATCTGAGTTATTTAAAGGAGAAAATAACATTATGTTTATAGAGGACAGCATTTGAGAATGTTTAGCAGTCAGTAACTCTTTTAGGTAAGATCAAGTTGCAGTGGAAGGGACACTACCTAAAATAATAGAAACTAACAAACAATAAAGAATTATATAAAGTAACTTAAAGATGTATATATACATCTATATACTTTATATACACTTGTATACAGTGGCAGAATACATAAGAAGGCATTTCTGCTAAAACTAGGAACAAGACAAGGGTGCTTTGTTATCTTTATTCAACACTGTTTTTGAGGCATTAGCTAATGGGGTTGGAAAGGTAGAATGAAAATATGGAAAAAGTCAAATGATTTGCATACAGCATGAATGCTTAGAAATCCAGGATACTCATCTAGAAAACTAGTTGACGTCAGTCATGAGTATTTGGTGAAGTGATTGGGTAAAGGCAGAGACTACAAATCTTTTTCACTATGCTAAATGCAAAACAGTTTGAATGGAAATGGGGGCAAGGGCAGAATGGGAGCTGGAAAACTCTATTCAAAATAATGACCAGCTAAGTATCCAGGAATACATTTTACAAGAAGAGTATTGTGAGGCTGATAAGAATTAGTGCAAAGATCTTACTGAAAGACAGCAGCTAAAGTTTTGACTATGTGGAGAGACATGTTCTATTTCCTGAATGAAAATATCAGAACACCTGTTTCTTCCTAATTATCAATAATTCCAGTCAGAATTCCAAGGGGGTTTTTAGAATTAGACCAAATGATTTTGAAGTTCAGTTGCAGCAAGAAATAAGAATAGCCAAGAAAAAGCTAAAATAATCATAGTGAAGGGAGATTGGCCCTCTTGCTTATTCTTTTACTGCAAAGTACAGCAGTCAAACAGGAAGGATGATGACACAAAAATAGACCAGAGGAATGGTACAGAGACTTTGGACATACCTGAGTGTGTGTTTGTACACACACAGCTAATACGTGAGCGAAGGTGTATTTCAGTTTGCTTGGAAAAGGAGATTCATTTCATTTAGTGATGCTGACTTAGTGGACTGTCCATCTGTGTGAGGACAGAGTAACCCCAGAAGCCATAGAAAAACTGACTTCAGATTGCTTAAGCTTTAGATGCAAAAACAAACACATTTAGGAAAATTTGGAGTATTTCGGATTTGGGAAACCTTTTAAAGAAAGGCAAGAAACCCAGAAACTAATGACAGCATAATACCATGGGCAGGCCGAAGACGGACTGAAAAAAATACAGCCAACAAACCTGACAGGGAGCTCATCTTAATAATACAAAGGGCCCTTTCAGCTGAAAATGAAATAAAAAAAAGGTGTAAAAGATATGAATTGGTACTTCTCAGAAGATTTTGAAAGTCCGCCTGTAAACTTAGGACAAGATGCTCACGCCTGGTGGTGGCCCAGCAAGTTCATGGTGAAACATTAGCAAGGTACTTGACAAAATATAAGAGGGACAACATGTGCAGGGGAGGTTGCAAGGAAACAGGTGCTTGTCTGCATTGCTGGCTGGAGCATGAACTGCCACCAAAAGTCAAAAGCGAAATACACAGGTCTTTTGTCTCGGCAGCTCAATGTTTGAGCACCCAGACCGCAGACAGAAAGGCCTCTGTACGAGGACATTAAGAGCAGAACATTTTTGGTGGAATGATATATTTTTTAAAAACATCATTACTTATAATGGGGTTAATGAAAGGTTCCATGTTGCAAATGTGTGTGATCCTAGTTTTGCAGAAGAGAACAAGCATTTGTGTTTCTATGCGGGGTGGGGAGTAGGGGGCTGATTCTATGAGCATAGGGAAGATTGATATTGTAGATTGAAGTCTGCTGGGGTGTTAATGCCTTCTTTGACTTTACATGGTTGCACTTAAATGGTACGTTAAGTGAAGCAAGTTAACAATAGGACAGTAAGATGTAGTTTCTTTTTAAAAATTGTGACTTTGAGGAGGTAAGAACATCCTTAGGAAAAAAAATCTGGTTTAGGTTATCTTAAGGAATTGTAGCCAACTTGATTTCTGACTTACTAGTTAGGTGAATTTTTTTTTTTTTAAACATGAGTATGTGTTGTAACTGGAGAAATAAAAGACACGGAAAATAACTCCTGTGTAGTTTAGGATGTTGCCTACAGCCAGATTGTCCCCAGAATATAGCTTTAACACTGCAAAGATAAGAATAACCCCAAACTTATTTCCTGTATGAGAGTCCCAGCTCTTAATGGCTGTACTCCGCTTGTTAATAACTCTTGATTGTGGGAGCTGATATTTATTAGATGGCTTTATTACCAGCTCTACTTGAAGTGTTGGGGAAAGTTGGAAAAACATAGGTTAATAGTTTGAGGTAGATGCAAAAATGAATTACAACGGAGTCATTTAGTACCTAATATGAAAGAAAACAGTAGAAGAAAACATGGTAGTAGGAGAGGCAGTGTAGATTCAAGTATGAACTCGGTTTTCAGGAAGATCTAAGTGTACTTCTGGGAGCTTTTGGCATATTATGCCACCTCTTTTTAAGTTTGTTTCTCCATTTGTAAGACAGGGATAGTAATAGTACCTGTAGAATCAAAGGGAGAAGACAAAGCGTGTAGGAGGCACTGGAGTTGAGCTATTCCAGGCAAGCCAAGGGTGGCAGTCCGTTTGGTTTGTGGGGCAAGTGCTGTGGATCTCAGCACCATTTGCATTCCTCCCCTTCCTGTACAAGCCTTTAACTGCTTCCACATGTGTTGGCTCACCCACCTGTCTTCCCTCTGGAAGGTTCTTGTAGAAGACTGTATTCCAGTACTGAAGAGGTACGCCAACGAAGGGAGAGAGTTTGATTACGTGATTAATGATTTGACCGCCGTTCCAATCTCCACATCTCCTGAAGAAGGTAGAGTCTGGGTTCTTGTTTTGTTTTTAACCAAGATAATGTTCACGGAAGTGTTTTTCTTGGTACCACAGGAGAATGAAATGATGGATATTCAAGATTGCCCGATAAAGTTCCTTCATTTTTAAAGGTAGTTAATTCGAGGCCCACGGTGAAGATAGCTATGGCTTTTGTCAAGTCTTGTTCTGCCTCCAAAAGAGCAAATAAACTCATTTGAAACAAAATAAAATGACTCAAAATCATGTCATTGGAACATTTGCTCGTTTGATAATATATTTACATTGTGTGATTTTTAACTTGTACTTAAACGGTAACCAGAGACAGTTCCCCTTCTCAAACTACAAGCTTGAAATCACTGCTGCTTTGGGATGTCCATGTGCATGTTTTTTCGGAGACCTTTCCTTCTCGCCGAGCTTGTAGATTCAGTTCCCCACCTGATGACCCTTGCAGTTTCTGGGGGAGTTGCTGCTTTTCCCTCCACTTAAAGCTGTTTGTCAGCTTCCAACCACTGCTTCATGTCAAATCTGTGTTGGTACTGTAAGAGCACTGCTTAGGTACGTGCACATCTGCTTGTATATGCACAGGGGGGCGAGGCATCAAGTATGTGACAGGGCCTGATCATTTATGAATGAGCTGCCCAGCTTTGGGTCTTAAGCTCATGGCTTTTTTGTTGTTATCGTTGAGTATTACCTTGAATGTTTAACTTCAGATGTTTCTGATGCTTGCAAACCCACATTTATAAAATCTTTTTTAACATGCAGATTCCACATGGGAGTTTCTCAGGCTCATTCTTGACCTGTCAATGAAAGTACTGAAACAGGATGGGAAATATTTTACACAGGTAGGCTCCTTTACTGGTTTTCCCCAGACTCTCAAGATTTTTTACTTTCAAATTTGAATTCATATGTTCTTTAAGTGTATGTCTGTTAAGGATAGAAGAGGACAATTGGTTTGTGTTCTTTCAAGCGTTGTTCGTAAACCTCGGACCTGCGTGTCCTGAGTTCTATGCGTCTTGTTAAGGTCTGCTGTCCCAGTTTATCTGCTTTGGGCTTTGGCTGTAGTATGAGCTGCGGCCACCAGATGGAGACAAAGACTGTGATTTCTCCCCAACCCCGGAGATTCTTAACTGAAAAGCCAAATCTACGTGGCATAATCTGCTTTGGTTGTATTGAGCTCCTGCCACCAGATGGAAGCAAATTGTCACTTTTCTGATTCTTTAGAGGAGTCCTAATTTTAAGAGTTTCAAGTGTATGTTTCTTGATAGATGAATATGTGTGTGTGTATCATGCTATTGAGAATTAACAAAACTCTGAAACTGAAGCAGCTAATTGATGATCCAGTCTCTCAACTTACTTAATTCATAAGTAGAACATAAGCACTTTTCACTTAAATAGTATTTTACTCTGGTCCCTTTAATTCATAAGAATTTTCAGGAGAATCTCCCTAACCTCCCACCCCCTTTTTAAGAAGCTTAGTATATTTAAATGTCAAGAATTAGGAGGGAGGTTTTTTTTTTTTTTTTTTTTTCCCCCCCAGGAGAGAGGTTTTAACTTCATTTTCCTGAGGAGGCATTTTCAAGCAGGCCCCAGACAGTTCATGAGCTCTGAGATGAATAATGCTGAAAACAACTTGGCAACCCTAAAAAACAAATTGAATTAGTCCCCAGTCCATCCTGTTTTCCTTCTCTCCCCTCTTCATGTAATACCCCTCTACGTGGCGATTAACCCTAGATCTTGCACCTGGTTAAAGTGTGAGGCCACTTTCAAGGGGAGTAGACAACTGTCTGTGAATGGATTTTTTTCCTCCATGATGTTTAGAAATGGTTAAAAAAAAAAAAACGTTCTAGACTGGACTCTTTAAAGCCGGGGTCTGCAAAAACTACAGGCCAAATGTCGCCTACTCTTAGTTTTTATAAGGTTTTCTTGGCACACAGTCACAGCCATTCATATTGTCTATGGCTGCCTTTGTGTGGTTGGGGCAGCACTGAGTAGTCATGATGGAGACGCTATGATCTGCAAAGCCTAAAATATGTTCTTTCTGGCCCTTGACGGAAGTTTGCTGACCCATGCTTTACAGGAATAAACAATGAAACCTGTTCAAAGTCATCTTAGTCTTGTAAAAGCTACCTAAACTCAGTGCATTGGGTTTTCTCTTGAGTGCACATTTCTCAAGCAGAGCACATCAATAGAATATTTTTCTGCAAATTGAAGGAAATGTCATGCAGCTTAAGTGGGGGAAGAATGTATGTCCTGGGATCTTTAACCAAAAGAGATGGGAAACAGCTTGGATCCAGTGCAAACCAGTTTGCAGCAGACAACAGGTAGAGTCAGGAAGAGAGTGTGACTGTTCTCTTTGTTATGAATGTTTGCCTTTCTTGGGGAACTGTTATCTCAGTATGGAAGACTAATAGAAATGCTTGCTTAACAGATCACCACAGCCACATTTGTAAATATTAATGATCCAGACTTTGAGAACTTGTCTTTGCTAACTGACTTTTACCAAACATCACATTGTATGCCTGGGGCTGTGTTGGTTTCCTAGAGTTGTCCAAAATATACATTAGGGCATGTTTCCTTTCCTTGCATTCGTTATGGTGGGAAACTCAAGGCAGTCAGCTTTAATTAGTAATGCCCGGAATCACACAGTGCTTTTGGGGGCTGAATGTGTCACACAGTGAGATTCATACGGATTTAGGAAGCAGAGGCCTTAGAAGGGTGGTTTGACTCAGGATGTAATGATGCACTTGCCACAGTGCAGTGTTTTTTTAAACTGCCATGTGATATACTAGGAGATACTTGATCACAGCTCCCCTGCCCCTTCCCTGGGTGTATAGCTTAGAACTGGAGCAAGGGTAAAGATGAGATGGAATTGTTTGGCCTTTTACTTGGTGATTGACAAAAGCTAAATGATCCTACCTGAAATTGCTTGCATCGCAGTAGCAAGGTCATGATGTCATTAGCGTCACTGCGGCTGCTTGAAGACAGCCTTGTCAGTATGGCACACAGCTGGGGAAAGCATTATAGAGTGCGTGGCAATTGAGTCGACTCTCCTGGGCTGGGAGGATTTAAATCCAGAGCACAACTGATTGCAAACGACTAGGATGAAGGTGCTGGGACTTGACCTCCCTCCCTTCTCTCCCCAACTCCCCACTAAAAAAGCCTGGAGGTTATGTGGTACATACAAAAGTATGGATGTGAGATTCATCTAAGTTACAATGCAAGACAGTAACCCCCACCAGCCCCAACTTGAGAACTGCTCTTTCCCAGTACCTTTGATACATCTGTGTCCCTCCCATGCCCCTGCCCACCTTCTAGAAGTAACCCATCTTTAGGGTTGTTCTTTTTTATTCCTGTGCTGAAACACAGAGCCAAAATATTTCTGTTAAGTCCTGAATCATTTATGAAGCTAGTTTTCATTGAATTTATTTTATTTTAAAAATTTTTATGTATTTAAAATTTTTTTATATTGAGGTCCTTACAATAAAATACACAAATCTTAGCATACAGCTTGATGAACTTTGACACATTAATGAGTGTACACTCATTAAGATACCAAACATTCTAATTTTTTTCCCCTAAACCTATTTCACCTGTCCTCTGAACGCCCTCCACTGTGGCAGCCACCAGTCTGTTCTCTGTGTTTGAGTCTGTTTCAGCTTGTTTGTATTTTTTTTCAGATTCCACATTGAAGTGAAACAACGTGGTATTTCTCTTTCTCCATCTGACTCTCTTCACTTAGCATAATACTCTCTAGGTCCATGCATTAGGTTGCAAATAGCCAGATTTCACTCTTTCATACCTGAGTGATGTTCCATTGTGTATATGTACTACGTCATTTTTATCCATCTTTCAATGGACACCTTAGGTTGCTTCTATATCTTGGCTATTAAAAATCGTACAGCAGTAAACATAGGGGTGCATATGTCTTTTTAAATCAGTGTTTCTATTTTCTAAGGATAAATACCCAGAAGTGGAGTTACTGGGTCATGTGGTGTTTGTATTAGTTTTTTGAGGAACCTCTTTCCTGTTTTCCATAGTGGCTACACCAATTTATATTCCCACCAACAGTGTAGGCTGATTCCCTTTTCTCCACGTCCTTACCAACACTTGTTACTTCTTGTCATTTCTTGTCTTTTGGGTAGTGGCCATTCTGACTGGTGTGAGGTGATATCCCATTGTGCTTTGATTTGTGTTTCCCTGATTAGTGGTATTGCACATGTGCTGATCTTTAAATATAGATGTTTCACATATGTGTGATTCATAAATTTTTACATTGTTCAGTTAAGCTTGTTTTTGAACTTGATAAAAATGCTGTTATTAAGGATGTATTCTTTCAGACCTGTTACTTTTTACGTTACAGAAATCATGCATGCTATTAAGTTTAAAAGATAACAAACAGTACAGAAATTGATAAAGTATAAAAGCAAGTGTCACCTACCTACACCTATTATGCGGCAGGGACAGTTTTCTAGAACCAAAGCTATTGAATTGGGATTTACCCCCATAGAAGTGCCCCCCCACCGCCATTACCCCATTATTCCCTTCCTCTCATCCTCAATAGGTATTTCATTCTTTGCTATTAAATTTTTGCTCTGCATCTCCCAGGTATCTTTCTTAAGAAAAGAAAAATGTATTTCCATTTCAGTACACAGGAAAGTGAAATGTATTGCATTATTTTGGGTGTGGGGGTGAGTCTCTATTTGTGGTGATGGTTTTTTTAAACTGCTTTTGGACAATACTGGGAAAGACCAAATTGAAACTTTCCTATTTCCTTACCACATCTGTAAGGAGATCCTCCAATATACCCTCTATAAAGAGTGTGCTGTCAATTTTAAGATGACAAGGAAAACCATTGAATTGTGCACCTAGGTGGCATTTCCATTCCATAGCTTCCCCAGCGGTAATGTGTTCTAAAAACAACCAGGCAGTGTTTTCTATTTGTGAATGTTAAATTACACATGTGGTGTTTATATACTCTCATGGTGAACTTGATGTTGAAACCAAATTATATGCTATTGAAGGGCACTTCGGCCAAATCCCACTGCAAGACCCTAGATGATGGGTTACTAAACAGGTTGGCACTGAAGGACGACATCATGCTGAGCGAATGTGCTAAAACCGCCAAGGCCAGCTCTTAGAATAGCTCTGTCTGCCCACTTGCTCATGGCTGGCTAGTTTTCAAATGCTGTTCTTAGGAATGCTTACATCACAGGCTGCCTTTATTTGTTAATAATTTTCATCTTAACATTTACCTAGTTAATTTGAGGCAAATTGATAGTGTAAGGTCTTAAGAAATGCAGTCAGCACGTATATTCAGTAGTTTTCTAAGCATTAATAGCTTCAGAGGTTAAACGGAAATAGATGGTATTAAATACCTATCTTGTTTTCTAAATCTGTTATGAAAAGCCCCTGGGGGAAAAGTATTATAAAATAATAAGGCCTACCCCAGACTTACCGAAAGAAAATCACCATTTTAACAAGATGCCCTATGATTGAGATGCCTATTCAAGATTAAGAAGCACCACTGTAGAACCAGGCAGATACTGTAGCCATTTAGCAGCTCTGTTCCGTCTTGGCCAGCATCTGATTCTCTACCTTTTTTCCTTCATGGTTAGAGTGGCTACGCAGGTCCCAGTGTCACATCTAGGTAACAGGCTCAAAGTAAGTTGAAGGGGCCAGTCACTCTGTTTATCCTTGATTGTCAGAATCAAAAAGTTGCCCAGGAGCCCCCAGGGACTTCTACTCTTTGATTGCCCCTAGCTGCTGGGGAGGCTGAAAAAGTGGTTGTAAAAAAGAAAAATTAGAACAGTGAAGTCCAGAGAAGGGTTTGGTAAGAGCTGCAGAGTATCCGTGGTACATACATCCTGAATAAGCTGCTGTTCTCTTGTACCTTAAAGTAACTTCACGGTTTTGGGAAAAGTGTGTGTGTGGGGGGTGAATATAGTTATGCATCAACATACTAGATTCTTATAAAGGCTGTAGTTTTGAGCCACTCTGGAAACCAAGAACATTATCTCTTTGATCCTTCATTCTCAACACATAGTGACTATGGGGAAAATTTACTTTGAATGGCTTAGGTGTGTGAATTCTGCAAAATGTGTGGTGTTGATATGACTGTCGCTAAGGAGAAATCGGTCTCGCTGCTTCCCATTGCTTCATAGTCTTAGTAATTTGAAATGGCTTGGTAAATGAGGCAGAAGGGTAATGAACTAATGGATCCGTAAGTAGAATTCAACTCAGTTTGTGAAAGTACAGAAGCTTTATCATTTTTAAAGGTGAACTTTTCATCTACAGCTGGAATTGTTCTCATATATTAGAGACCTTCAAATGAGTGGGGACCTTCAGTAAGACTCAAGAATCCCATTGTTTGCTTTCCTTTCTTGGATTTAGGGGAACTGTGTCAATTTGACGGAAGCCCTGTCGCTCTATGAAGAACAGCTCGGGCGCCTGTATTGTCCTGTGGAATTCTCGAAGGAGATCGTCTGTGTCCCTTCGTACTTGGAATTGTATCCTTTGACCATAACGTTGTGTTGCCAGATCAGAATACCCAAGTAACTCCCATGCCAGTTTCACATTTTAAATCCCAATAAAAACGGAATTAGCTCTGCGTGTATATGAGGCCATAGTAATCAAGGGTGGCTGCACATTGGAATCCCCTGGGAGCTTTAAAACCATACTGATTTCACACACACTCGTCCAGCCCCACCTTGGTCTGCTGCTCAGTCAGAAATGCTGGAGATGGGGATGAATGGGGGACGTCCCCTAACCAGCGGGCCAGGGGATTGATGTGCATATTAGAGCTCCAGAAACCCTTGTCTGAAACACCACCTCTGCTGTAGCAGCAAAAGGACTATAGGTGGTCATTCTACTTTTATATTAAAATTATACTACTTTGATATTACTTTGTACATTTGATCCTGATTTGAAATAGAGATTAAGAGCTTCAAATAATGCTGAGGATTGCAAAATTAATGTTGGAGTTCTCCATTAGTTCCAATTCATAAAGTTAGTCCAGAGAAATTAGAACAGAACCTGGGAAAAAACTGGAATGAGAATGTTATCACTGGAAACATAAAAGTGCATTTCCTTCTAAAAGGCTAACTATAGTCTCCAGACAAAAGCTTGCTTCCTTTTGTGCAGTGACCGAGGCCAGTTGACTGACAGCAGCTGTCATTGCTGTGGAGGGAGACCCTATGCCTGCTGCTGGCCTGCAGCGAGGCCCTTGCCCGAAAGCCTGGGCAGCCCCTGGCCCCCTGGAAGGCGGGAAGCACTCTGCTGGATGGGTGGCCCTGGTTTCCACGGCCTGTGGAGACCTCTGACTCCTCTCCCTGTACCAACTGGCCCCCTTAGCAGGGTTCTCCCCCTGTAGCACTGTTTACCATCAGGTCTGTTTTTATACTGAGAGAGTTTAGAAATCAGTTGATAATATTTGGAGAAAAGGTTTCTGCTCTGTGGCTTCCCCTTCATCCTTCCCCCCTTTTTCTCCTCCTATCTTCCTCTCCCCGTCTTCCCTGACTCCCTCCTCTTCTCCCTTCTGTCTTTGTCCCCTGTTATCCCATATTAATTTCCTAATACATCTGGGAGACCTGGGAAGCAGTAGTGTCACCTGCAGGAATATTGCCATCCTTCAGCCTTTTCTCTACTCTGCTCCCCAGCCCCCTGTGTCAACAGGGGAAGGTGTCTAGGCTGTAAAGCGGCCTCCTTCACAGGCCTCCATTCTCATTACCACAGCTCCCGAAGCCGTTCAGCTTTCATCCATCTTCAGTTTGTGAGCCTGAGATCTACCTTGAATTACCTGCCTTTATTTTTATTCCTTGACTCCCCGTCCAGGTGGGTATTTTACACTGTCTGGAAGAAAGCTAAACCCTGAAAATCAATGGCCCCTAATCACGTGTGCTGCAAATAGCCTTCCTGACCTTCATATGCTGTACCTGACATCACAACAAGCTGTGCCATTAATTATGAATGCCTTCAAGATTTATTTTTTAATGGATTATTTTTAATTTAATGAAATCAAGTGGAAAATATATATTTTGATTAGCTAGGGTGTGATTTTTTTGAAAGTCAGCTGAAGGATGATTAGACAGCACAGCGAAGGCTGCTAAACGCACTGAACCCCTAGAATGTGATTTTTGTTACCTTTTTTTTTCTGTGTGGGCTTTTTGTTTCAGTAGGCTTTGAATTTGGTGGTGTGGAGGAACGAACATCGTCGTCTTGTTCTGGAGGAACATTCTTGATGGTGTTTCTTTCCCCCCAAAAATTGACTTAGATATTAAAATTTGGTGCTTATAAGAAAGTTTTAAAAAAATGAATAGCAATGCTTCAATTAAAAGTACAAATAAGAAACTTTATGTGTCTGTTGTTTTATTTCAGCCAGGTCCCCTCTTTCTCACTTCTGATCTCATAGAACAAAGGTGTCTCCTGGACTGTTTTTCAGTTCTCTGCGCCATTTATCTCTTTATAATAGGATGGCCTCAGGGTCTTTTTTGAACAGTGGTAATGACTTCGTTTGCCACTATGGTAAGTGATACATAACCCATTACATTAACTAGTTCTTCATTTATAAAATGGACCCGAGGATCAGAAAAGATTTGGCCTTCCTGTGAGGTTGAAAGTCAAAAGCTTATTTAACTATTCCCACTCCTACTAGTATATTGCGTATGGAAATAAAGATGTTTTGGATGGCTTCTGTGAAACGTTGACAAGATTCTATGTGCCCAGGTAGATGATAGTTAATGGAGAGGCCCTCAACAAGAGCAACTTTAAACTCATACAGAAATGCTTGTAACAGCTTGGTAGTATATTTGTGGCTAACAGTCCACATCACAGGTGAGGTGATGTTGACTTGGGTTATGTTTGTATGAAAGGTTTGTGCTTTATTGACAGAATGATTTTATGGTGAATTTGCAGTTAAGCAAAACATTAAAAAACGAAATATTCAATGTATGCTCTGAGATGAATGTCAACCCACAACAGCCTTCTTCCCAAGATCAGTTCATCTAACAGATACTCTTTAAAATGAATATATGCTTACTTCACTCTCTGTTGGAGCATGGAAGAAACAATGACAGAATAAAAGTAGTTAGAATCGTGTTGTAACTAGATTGTCTTTCAGCAAATACTTTTCTTAGGCATAGAGGTTAAAAACAGCATTGATAGACATTAAGAATTCTACCCACCCCCTCAAACTCTTTTTTGATACTTCGCAAAGGCTCTGTACGCTGTGTAAGATTAAAAATGATGGTGCAGTTACTGTCAGAACACCACTTGGGGTTAACAGAGTTGGATTTTTTTCCATTTTAGAGAGGAAACCAAGTGTATCTGGCATGTGCACATGCTATTACTAATATGTGAGCGTAGGTTTGTACTTGAGGACTAGCTTTGAGGCCAAGGCCAGTCCTCTGATGAATCTGGTGACACACACGGCCCGCCAGGAGCTGAGAGAAGTGAAGTGGATCAGGCCAGACCATGAGAGATGCACTCAGAGGAGTGGTGTGTGGTACAGGAGGAAGAATGGAACTGTTTTTATTTTGGGTGATAATGGTAAATCCAGACCCTACTCATTTCTTCATATCGGACAAAGGGTGATGTGTAATTATTTTTGAACATCTTTGTAATTGTTTTAAAAGCAAAGTTTGCAACCTGAAGTCCCAGAAACTAAAAACACTCTCTTCTCGTGCTGTACTTTAAGGAAATGTTATCTAAGCACTATTATTTGACTTAAAGGACTGTAGTATTTATTACATAGTGTTGGCATCTCCTTTGTAATCTAAAATAGAATATACTATAGCACCATAGCCACCTTTTAATTAAAGACAAGGACAAGACAAATAGGGCTGTAGTTCAAATTCTGTTCAACATATCAGATACCAAGAACTGGTTTATTAAAAATAAAAATGCTGTTACTGAAAATGTGATTGCTTGTTTCAGAAACTTGATTAATGGTGATCTGACTGGGCTGGAGGAATGCAGGGTTGACCGTGTGTTCACTGGGCGAGAGCGGTGTTGATGGCTAAGGGAACAATGCGCAGCTCCTGCTCGTGTGGTTGGCTAGGGGCCTCCTAGCTTGCGTTACCTCGGCCTGACAGAAGCGTTTGCATTTCTCTTCAATGGGTGACTCCATTCTGTTCCGTGACTCTGGGGCAGGGGGAAGGAAGTGTGTGTGTCGGATGGTGCCTATCGTTGGCCTGTGGGTGAGACTCTAGAGCAGTGTTGCACAGAGTGTGCCTCTTCAACCAGCTCTTCCCTTTTAAGCAGTTCTACTTCAGCTGGGTGCCCTGCCACACTCAGTGGAGGAAGCTGCGTGTTGATGGACACCAGCACAAGCTCTTTACCCAGCCTGGGAACAACACTTGAGTAGCACAGTTCTAGAGGTCCGGTGGGCAGCAACATCCAGGAAGAGCTGCTCTATGGCCTTGAAGAAACACTCCTGTCACCCTATTGCTGAGTGGCTTTGTACCAAATAATCTTTCACATGTGTGTGCTTTGGGTGACTAAACCACTTGCATTTATATTACCTGTGCAGTCCTAAAAGCTTTGAATTCCATGTTAACATCACTGAGTAGGCCAGCAGTCCAAATTCATAAAGTGCCTATGAGTGCCCTGCCTAGTAACAATTTGAAGCTAGGCTCCAGCATTCTGAATTTGCTAATAACTGAAAGCCTCCAGCAGAGATCCTTGGCAGCCTGGTGAACAGTGGACCCTTCCTCAGAAACTTTTTTTATTGCAAATATAGTTGATCTACAATATATTGGATTCAGGTGTACAACACAATCATTTGACAACGACATACACAGTAGAAAATGCGTACCATGATAAGTGTGTTACTTGCTGTCACCAATGTTACGGTATTTTGATTATATTTCCTGTGCTATTCTTTCATCCCATAACTACTGCTTTATAACTGGATGTTTGTGCCTCTTTATCCCCGTCACCAATTTCACCCATCCCCCCCACCTGCCTCCCCTATGGCCACCACCAGTCTGTTCTCCGTATTTTTTTTATATTTATCTTTTTAGATAGCACATGTAGGTGAACCCATATGGTATTTGTCTTTGTCTGACTTACTTCAGGTTCATCCTTGTTCCAGATGGCAAGACTTTTTTATGGCTGAGTAATGTTCTAACGCACATATGTACCACATCTTCATCCATGGAACTATTGAAGAAACATGTTTTTTAAATACATAAAGTAAATATGATTACATGGAAACAAGTTACATTGTTTTTCAAAGACTTATGATTTAATATTGGTGCTTTAATAACTTGTTACACAGGTAGATCTAGTGGTGAGTCAAATACTATAATTATTAAATAGTAATCAGCATAAATATTTAAGATCTGCAGCAACTGAATGTGATTAAGAACACATCTGATTTGCTGACAAACTATAGGTACCATCAGTACTAACATGGTTTGTCACCCATATTCATGCTTAAAGGAAATGGCCACATTTCAATTAGAGGCCAGTGAAAACAGGAATGTTTTCCCATCCAAGTTTAGGGACCCAGAATTCTGTCCATAGACCTCAGGTTAAGAAGCCCTGACATACAGTTTTTGCTTTCATTGTTTGATTTTGTTGAGGTGTTGGGAAGGATAGCTGGGTCCCTTCACCCTGCTGTCAGAACTCAAATCAGTACTGGCAGATGAGTTCTCCTCAGCCAGAACCATTTAAAATCTCAATTGCCTACTGCAGTCATTCCACTGATTCCTGCTTTACTCATTATTTCAAAAATGAGAAATAGAATGTGGGCAAGAAATAGCTCAGTGTTTTTGGGAAGCTATTTGAATACTCTTGGATGTTTTTTCCCTGGGAAATCTGATGATAAATGTGACTGGACAGGTATGCTTATCTCCTGTATCTGGGGGTCTTGGAGAAGCCCTGGCCAGTGCATTAATGCAGGTGGCATCTGGCGACAGCCAATCATGGCGGTCATTTCAGTGAGCGATTCCTTTATGATGAAGTATTAGAGAGCATCCCCCCACCCCACCCCGTGCTGCTTTGCCCAGGAATTGAACAGTGAGTCAGGCCTTTCCGACTGAAGTACACTAAACAAGCCTGGTTGGTTTTGACAGAAGCCCACCAATATCCAGACAGGGAAGAATGGGGAGTCCTATTTCGATCCCCTCCCCACATTGCCTAGAGATGAAATCCCAGGACTGTAAAGTTGGACAGGGGATGGTCTCTGGATGTGGGCTTTGACCCTGGAATTAAGAGTTTCTGGTTCCAACTATTAGGGAATCATTTCTTCTTGTCTTGGTTCTATTTTTAAATTTTTGCAGAGCCTCCATACTGTTTTTGATAGCGGCTGTACCAGTTTACAATCCCACCAACAATGCACACTGGTTCCCTTTCCTCCATGGCCTCACTAACACTTCTTAGTTCTAAAATAGTTTTACATACATATTGTTGGATTACATTGGTAACTTAGGTTCTCCCTAAGTGATTCTGACAGCTCCAAGTTCATTGCCGAGGGACAGATATCCTCCCTGGACTACATTCCATATCCTCTACTTTGTAGACACCTCTGCCTTTGCCTGTTTTCAATTGTCTGAGTTACTTCGACACCTGAAATTCCCTCACCCTTCCAGTGCTGGAGGTCCTCTGTCAATGTGTCCTATGCGTTCATTATGTGGTCCCTTTACACTCAGCATTTACTTCTTCTCTCGGTCTTATTAAGTAGTTTTTATCCCATAGCTATTGTCCATATATGATTAAATGTTTAATGTTTGAAGAGACGGCATGTCCTAATGGGAAGGAATACACCTGAGTGTCTGACTTTTGCCATGTAGAAGCCAGAGGGTTTTAACTGAAGTGTGGTGGGGGCCGGAGAAGCAAGACCTTCCATGCAGGCCCAGTTGTGAAGCTGCCACTGCTTCCCTCTGGCTCACTTTGCCTAATCCTTTGTGTGTGTGGTGGGCACTTAAGGTCAAGTGCATCGTAAAAGGGAATTCTTAGGATTGCATTTTCCAAGTGCGACAAGGAGAAAATAGGCTGGTGTGAAGAAATAACCCAGCATTGGGCATGTTCGAGAAGGAAATTAGTGTATGATGCTGAAGGGAGAAGTCTGCACGTTCAGTGGCCAAGGAGCAAGAATGTTCTCCTTGGCCATGGTCATGGGGTAGCCCCACTGGGTGGAAGCACAGTGTTCGTGGGGAGGGGGTCCTTCCACCAAAGCTTGTGTCTTTTGGGTTCCTTCTTGGTGCCCCAAGGGCCGAAGAGGAGCAGAAACTCAGGAAGGTGTACAGCGTTCAGACCAGAAAACGAACAACGTATAGGACCGAAGCCACTTTGGGGTGGCCATTTCTGGGACTGAGTCCTCTCTTCTTTCCTGTCTGTGCTCCACT